CACGTCCGTCCCTCCCACAGCCCGGCGCGGAAGAGAGACGCCGGGCTGGCTGAGGCGGTTCCCTCAGGGGCGGCGGTTCCCTCAGGTGGCGTCGCCCGTTGGGCGCCGGGCGGGTGTCCGCGGCCTCTTCTCCTCCCGGCGGCGGCCAGGCGGCCTGAGGAGGCCGTGCCGGGCGGCTGGAGCCCGGCAGGTGAGTTGGGCTGAGGTACCGGGTCACGGGCAGAACCGGCGCCTGTTGCACCGCGGGGCAGAGAATTGGTCATGGCGGTGCGACCTCCCAGGGGAGGAAGGAGCAGGCGCTGGAGGCGGGCAGGGCTGAGCCCTGACCCACGGCTCTCGCCCCGCCATCGTTTGTACTCGTGCAGCGGTACCCTCCTGCAGAAATGGTGCATTTTTTAATACCTGGGGTGATAATTCTGTGCCTTTACATGACCCCGATCACAAAACCATCCAATCAAAACCTCTCTACAACTACCTGAAGGGGGGTTGTAGTGAGGTGGGTGCTGGTCTCTTCTGTCAGGTGGCTGGAGATAGGACGAGAGGAAATGGCCTCAAGTTGAGGCAAGGGAGATTTAGGTCAGATATTAGGAAAAATTTCTTTACTGAGAGGGTTGTCACACATTGGAATAGGCTGCCCAGGGAAGTGGTGGAGTCACCATCCCTGGAGGTATTGAAAAAGCACGTAGATGGGGTACTCCATAACATGGTTTAGTGGGCGTGGATGATGGTTGGACTCAATGATCTTGAAGGTCTTTTCCAACCTACATGATTCTATGATTCTGTAAATCGTGAAATCAGATTTCCAATATATCCTGTTGTATTTCACCCAGCTGCCCCCCAAAGTCATCTAATACTATGTATAACTGGCAAATCGCTTTCCAGGAGGTCCTAGTTTAAAACCACCTGTACTTCCCTGTATTGTAGCCCAGGCAGTTCACAGAGCTGCTTAGTCTTCACTTCTGTTCAACACTGCAGATTTTTGCCTTTTCTGAAACTTTTGTCAAACAGTAGTTTCATGTTTTCTTGCAGCTCGTCGGTGAAAATACCAAGCCGTGTCATGGTTAGCATTGATCTCTCCTGAAGTCCACCAGAAAGCCTGCTATTTGGTGACGAAAGCAAGTATTTCTAGGATCTATTTTAAACCAGTTTTCATTGGTGAGTAGTTAACAGGTTAATATTTGCCACATTGTTATGTAGCTCTGTTTTTTTTTTACAAAATGGCACATACTTGTATTTCTGCATGTTCACCCCTATCAGCTAGTATATGTTTTCATCAAAGAATTAAATCAAGTTCATTTGATAAGGTTTATTTTCAAAAAAGAAAATGCATTTTGCTAACTCTTGTGTTTTCATTTGCCCCCTCTTTAATATTTTAACTATTTTCTTCCAGTTTCTCCTTTGTTTTGCTTTGGACTGATGTCACACTAACTAAACTGGAGGCCACTACGGATGTCTTGCTGCCACTTCAGAGTACCAGCACGCAGGTTAAAGGAGAGGCAAAAGCAGTAGGTGCGGGTGCAAAGGCTGGTGGATTCTTCCATTTGAGATTAAGTAACTGAGTGGTTTTGCACTCCAGATGAAAGTACAGTGTAGAAATGCCCTATATCACACTAAATGTAACATATTCAGTCTAGACACAGCAGCAGATAGTTTGCCCAGCTTCTGAGAAGCTGTCAGCAGCATAGGCATACCCTTCAAAACAGTAGCGAAAGTTCTTTGTACATATGTTTAGAAAAAGTGATACCTAATAAAAGAGAGCAATATACAACATTTCCTGTTGGTCTAAGGTAAAAGAGACCACATCCTTTTTCACATTGTTTCATGACTCCTTCCCATGCAGGAGGCCCTCCGCCCACAGGACTACCCCACAAAGAACAGCCCTCTCTTCACCACCTTCCTCCTTAGAAAACTGAGGGGCCTTCAGCTCAATCACACCCAGGAGCATGGACTCTCCCTGTGTCCTGGCGTGGTTCTCTGCCACTGCTCCATTTCTGGGAATACCTACATTACTGTGTCAGGTAATATCTGTAAAAAGACAGAGACATGTAAACACAACTTTTACGATTTTTAAAACCAGCTGCAAGTCTCCTCCAAACCTAGAGTCTTGAAGTAGTTGTTTTCAGTTCTTGTGTGAGTTAACTTTAAATAATGGTTTTCTTTCTCCACTTAATTCACAGATAATGAAATAACTCCTTTACATGGCAGGCCGAAAACACATGGCCTATAAAAGGGAGACAGGAGAGGGGACAGAGGCATTCATGTTAATTTAAAAAATTTAAAGCATTAGCTTACTGAAGTGCTTAATGGTGTTATGCAGTGATACATTTGAATCAATGCTTTAAGATACTTTTTTCATGGTGAAACAACATTTCACATTTAACTGTGTATTGGTGTAAGTGAAATGGGATGTCTGAGTGCCCCCTTCTATTCTGAAAATACAAATTTAATACCGTATTCAGCAAGCCTGACTCTGGAATTTCCTTGTCTTTCTACGGTCCGTACTGTACATGCTGAATTCCTGTATGGTGTCTTCAATTTCCGTTCCTCTTTGTCATTCAGTTAAGGAAATACTCTATTTTGTAAAGACTGAGGAACACATACTGAGGGTTAGATGCATCTTGATTATGAATGGCTTTCTGTGTGCCCAGCTTTAAATAGGTAAGCCTTGATTTTCAAAAATGTGACTATTTGCTGCTCAGGGGAAGACAGACTGGTTTTCTAGAGCTAGGTGGTCAAGTGCTGAGAATTAGAGGATCCTTTTGAAAATTTGGGACTAAATGATTTGTTCATCTCCACAGTGTAGCCAAGTTTAAGGTTCCCATCTGCTTGGTTCTCTTTCCTTCCCTTACTCAATACTGCTACCCATGCAGTTAGAGAATAGAAGCTAAAGTAAATCTTCAGTTTTATGAAGTCAGTGGTAAAATTGTTAACTCTAATACAAGAAAGATTCCCTCCATGAAAGTCATATTATAAGAGTGAAAAATATAAAAATAAGTGAGCAGCTGTATAGATTTAGAAATTTACAACACATATGTACAAGAAAAGATTGTTCAGCATTAAAAAACAGATGAACACAATGCCAGGAGATTCAGTCAAAAATTACTCTGTCATGAAGGTTTTAAATCACAGTTTGAAAAATACTTTGAAATCTTAGATCAGCTTTGGGGACTAGCTTTTTCTCCATCACATCTCACTTCAAATTCCACCCCAAAACCCAAGAATGTACAGTAAAAGGAAAACATGCTTTGACAACCCTATGATTTTACCTTCTAATGCACCATAATATCACACTGCCATGGTAATTCATGACTCTTACAGTATAATCTGACATGACACTAAAGAAGTTATTACTCTTCCATCTGTGGGGAAAAATCTGTTTATAAATTTGAACTCAATATCACTGCATTTAGTGGGAAAAAAATCCAAAGCCCTAAAAAGCAAATAGTCACAATGAACAAGGAGAGATCATTTGCGCTGCCTCTTACTGCTTTGTGTCTTGACATGCAGTAGCAAGTTTTCACTTAATAAAAAGTATGCACATATAAATCTCCACCCTTTAAATGGGTATTTGAAAACAATTTTCAGCACATTCTGGCGTGTATAATTTATACATTGAAGGGTTATATTAATGCCAGCCTCCAGAATTAAATAAGACTTGCTACATTTCTTAGTGTTGCCACATGCCAGACATCCCCTTTAAAGGGATGACTCGCAGCTTGTCTTTGAATCTGACTAAGACCAGGGGGGGATCCCCCAGTCTCAAATTCATTTGGATATTCATTGCTTCCTGATACTCTGCTGGGATTTGAGAGATTCCTGTCTGCCAAACTCCAAAAGTAAGTCCGAGTTTGCCGTCCAGGAGCATCAACTGGAAGCCCTCAGAACGTGAAATTAGGTGAGGTATCTAGCACAACAGGAGGCAGGAGTAGTAGAGAGAGGTTTAAACTCTCATTCCTCTTGAGATGGAAGGCTTTCAGTTTTTCCCTTTGATCTTTTAGGGTGCAATAGAGGAATCACCTCCACAGCAATACTTTTGAGGAAGGGAAATGATTGACAACAGCAACCCAGCCTAGCTGCCTTTTGAAATACTAAATTCAAGTGCTAGACCCCAACAACAGTGAGTTATCCTTACTGCTAGTAATGAGCTTCCTGGAAGACGACAGGAGGCCCAGGAGTTGTCAGCTACCACCAACGGGACCTAACATTAGATGATGGTGATTCTGGAGATCTTGGGATCCTATACACAGGTGTCAACATACAGAAGCTTTTGGAGGGTGCTGGCTAGTGAAAAGGGGCTGTAAATTGACTGCAGATTAATTAAAACTGTTACTTACCAGAGTTTTTCACGTGAAATCTCTTCACAGCTGGATGACATTTCTATAGATAAGGCAGAAGGTGCTAATTCCATAGACATGTTTTTTCCCCAGACAGTGAATTTCAGTAGACGTCAAACATGCCATGAATGATATGTATATGTCTCACAGGTTTTATTAAGTATCAAACTAGCAGAGCTTGAGACATATGTAAACACTAAAAAAAAAAAAAAAGGTGAGAGTTGTAAGAACTTCATATTGCAGCATCCTTAATCACTGTCTAGAAGACGGGCTTTTTGAAAAGTTGAGAGTTGTAGGATAGATCCCCCTGGTCAGGACGGATAGAGTGAATTGACTTGGAGCTCTGCCAATACAAACCATAGCATTAGCAGTAATGTTGAACTCTGCCTGCAAAACATGCTTGGCATTGTCAGAGCTTTAGGAAGCAAGACAAGTTCTTTGCATTTAATTCAAAGTTCTGACACAGGACTGCTCCCTATTAAAGGCTTCAGAAGAATCTAAAAACCAACACAACCTTTTCATTATCCAAAAAAACCTGATGAAGCCTTGATGCAGTGTGCAGAGCAAATGGTTTGAAATAGATGTCAAAAAAGCCTACTTAAAAGTAGG